CAGGCTTAAACAGTTAGAGTTATCTCCCGCTTCCATGTTAATCTTATACCAGACACGGCACAAACGTTTGCTACTGGTCAGGTGGAGAATCTGAAGCATTTTTGTAGTCTCCTTGGTCTAGTCCCATCATCCAGGAGTGAGGTAGCTTGGAGAGGGCGGGGGGAGGCGCAGTTATTCCCGGAAGTTTGTTTTGTCCCCGGGCGCTAAGTACCCTCGCTACGCCACTGGGACTTAGCTCCATGACCATAACTTAAAAAATATTGAGAAACCCTTGGCATTCACTTCAAACTTTTTGAGATCCCGACCGTTTACGCTTAACGGCAGTTCAAATAGCCATATACGTTTTACGGGGCATTAAAAAGAGTTATTCACGCTTTCCAGGAATTATAATATATATATATATATATATATATATATATATATATATATATATATATATATATATATATATATATATATATATATACTTACTAGTCATTAAAATAGATATTACATTTTCAGGGAATTAAAATGGCTATGTACGCTAAACGGGCATTAAAATAGAAACTTAGATATAACTATATCATTGTTCCTTGGGTACACTGTAACTTCCCAGGAGCCTAGCTCTTATTTAATTGAACATGCCGAGACCCCTACTGGATACGTATTATTGCATTTATTAAATGGTATTATAAATTGTAATATCCCGTACTAAAAATGCGAAAGATTTACAAAATGCCCGTGGAAACTCAAAAGATGTCTTTGGAAGCTTGCAAAAGATAAAAACAACCAAAGGTAAAAAATGAACAACCCTCTTCCATAAAACCCCACAAACTGCAACTGTTTGATTAGAATTATAGCTTTATGGAAGTCAAGTATCATGTTCGATTATTTTGACAAGTGTGATATTTGAGATGGTGCGATCAGTAGAGTACTAATGAGTAAATGGCGCCAAGAGCGACGATGAACACCCAATGGGGTTTCTTCGCTCCAAGATTTTTGGTGACCGCCCCGTCCACCCCCATCCCCAGTTAGTACATTGTTGAGTGTGATAACCTAAAATACACAATAATTATCCAGATCTGCAAGAAATTTGGTTCTAGTTTAATTTCATTAAGACTACTGTACAAGGGGGACAACTGACTTTATCGAAAATATTATTATAATACTTGTATCCCTTATAAGGTTACAATTTTATATTTTGTATATCTCTTATTAAAATTGAATCTATTTTTTTATAAAAAAAAATTGTTCCACGACTTATTTCAGTAAATTCATTTTTATATGTTAATCTTACTATATAATTGTTGTGCAAATTTTAAAAATCTTTGCTGAAATTGTGAATTAGGATCTTGATGCAATATACAAATATTTACAAGAATGGCTATTCCAAGTTAGTGAATACTGAAATTTAGAAAACAGAATAAATCACTCCGCCCCACTCTAAATCCAAACTGATCACAGGTATCTAAAGTAAATTTTCATTGCCATCACAACCAAATTTATATTCGCACGGTACAGGATATAATCACATCGTTAAAATTATTTTTAATGCTTCATTTCGTATGAAACTACTGCAAAAAATTTACTTGTCATTAAATCGTTCAGCATGACATACCTACCTACCTACCTACCTACCTACCTACCTACCTACCTACCTACCTACCTACCTACCTACCTACCTACCTACCTGGATTCAATGTGCATTATACGAGTCTGAGGATATGCAAAAAGAATGAAACTCATTGTCGAGGTTGCAAGAATAGGAGCAGCAAATAGTGAGCTAGGGTGAAACAAACAGTGCTAGTCAATATAGAGTAATACTGTGCGATTGAGCTAGGCTGATATAACCAAGGCTTGCCAATATAGGTGTATTACTTTGCGATTGAGCTAGAGTGATACAACCAAGGCTTGCCAATATAGCTGTATTACTTTGCGATTGAGCAAGAGTGATACAACCAAGGCGTGCCAATATAGCTGTATTACTTTGCGATTGAGCTAGGCTGATATAACCAAGGCTTGCCAATATAGCTGTATTACTTTGCGATTGAGCTAGGCTGATATAGCCAAGGCTTGCCAATATAGATGTATTACTGTGCGATTGAGCTAGGCTGATTACTTTGCGATTGAGCTAGGCTGAATTAGCCAAGGCTTGCCAATATAGATGTATTACTTTGCGATTGAGCTAGAGTGATACAACCAAGGCGTGCCAATATAGCTGTATTAGTTTGCGATTAAGCTAGGCTGATATAACCAAGGCTTGCCAATATAGATGTATTACTTTGCGATTGAGCTAGGCTGATATAACCAAGGGTTGCCAACATAGATGTATTACTTTGCGATTGAGCTAGAGTGATACAACCAAGGCTTGCCAATATAGATGTATTACTTTGCGATTTAACTAGGCTGATATAACCAAGGCTTGCCAATATAGATATATTACTTTGCGGCTTGCCAATATAGATATAGTACTTTGCGATTGAGCTAGAGTGATACAATCAAGGTTTGCCAATATAGATGTATTACTTCGTCACTGAGCTTGGGGTGGAAAAATGTTTGTTTGCAAATACAGATCTATTGCTTAGCAAGTAAAACAGGGTGCGACAAACGTCTCTTGCCGAAAGCGTTGTACAAGTAGCGAGCGAGCAAGTAAAGGACAAACTGCTTGCCAATATGACTTACTGCTAAATAAGTGCACTAGGGTTGGCGCAATTTAAAATTGTTTACTTGAAAGAAGCAAAGACTCTTCTTTTAATTTTATCATGGAATACGTCCTCAGTACCCTGAGGATTATTATAATACATAACCAGCGGGAAATATTTCTGGGCGTCTTTTTTTTTAATAGACAGACACTCCAAACGATAAATTTCTCAGCATAATAATACTACTTATCCCACCTTCCAGCGACAGTTAAGAATTGGAATCCGTTATACAGACGCCCGCACACTGGAGAAAGGGGAGGGGGAAGGCAACTAAATGTTTTGGACTCTATCCATAAAATGTAATAGCTGACCATTATGTTTGCCACCCCACCCTCCATGAAAATAATTTTGTGGGCTCTCCTGATTAGATACAGATTTAAAAAATAAGCAATTATTCTATTCAGTCATCAGAGCGTTACCTGAATTAATTAATTGCCAGGTTTTTCTATCATGTGTGGCACAACATATGTAAGACCGGTAAGTATGGATATACTGTTGATACACTGTTTATTGTTTGAGCAGGTAGAGCTACAAAGGTTCATTTTAAACTCTAAAATGTCGTTTCTTTTCAACAAATTAATCTCAATTTTATTTATGAAGAATAAAACGATTCTAGATCAAGGTTGATTCGAAGACTATCCTTTTTTTTGTTTTTCTGTGTCGAAAAATTTTAGGGATGATAGTGAACTTAATTATTTCACCTGATTACTTTGGAATCATTACGCAGCCTGTCTAAAGGACTACTTTTGGATGCTGTTATTGCCATTACCTAAGCGAACTCTCGCCAATTGTTATTTGATACGCGTTTAAATGACAGTTAAAATTACATTAAATTGTTCATCGTAAACGTTTCCTTAACACTGTTAAGCCAATATAATTTCAATTGGTGATTTGTTATTAGAGAGTGGCATCAGATTTTGACTTCTACCTTCATTCTTCCTTTAGGAAAGCGATAAAAAAAGCCTTCGTTAAGCATAGGTCTTGAATATGAAAATTCTACTTTGTGGATCATAATTTTTTGCCAATGCCGTGTGTCTAACGCAAATGTTCATATCCTACAACACTGCATACGAAGTATTCTATTACCTTGCATATTTAATCATCGTCATAACGTTATGTTGATACATTTTCCGTCGGTACCTTGTGCTTGTTTGCAAATTATTTATCTATACTTATCTTATCTGAATGGATACAGCGAATGTATATGTAATTCTGTATTAGTAATATATGTTACTACATGATTTATAAAAGTTGTATACATTTTAAATTGTACAATCACTTCACACTTCAAATTAATGTGATTGCATATTATTCTGGTAGTTTGTCAATGCAAGCTTTTATTTGTTTGGAGACATATTATTTGCTGTTAGAGAGTTACATCAGATTTTAACTTCTACCTTCATTCTTCCCTCAGGAAGCGAGAAAAACAAGCCTTAATTATGCATAGAGTTTAGAGATGAAAATTCTACTTTGTGGATCATAATTTTGCGTCAATACCGTGTGTCTAACGCAAAAGTTTGACCCTCGGGTGGAATTTTCTGGTCCTACAAAAATGCAAACGAATTGAATATCTAGTCTTAGGAATAATGTCGGTATATTGTACTTGTTTGCAAATTATTTATATATACTTATTTTACCTGAATGGATACAGCTTATAGATATAGTAATATGCAATTATGAATTAGTAATAGATGTTACTTTAGGACTCTTAATCGCCTGCCGATTTTGTGATACGTCTTAGTTATGCAATGCTTGTTTGCGGTAAACCGACACTGGCAATTACTTCTACACCTGCAATTATGTCACAAAATATCACCAACTTTGTAAAAGACATTCCAGGTGTTATGTCAACTGCAATTGATTACCCCAATGCATATCATGCATCCCTACATTGGTCTGTGCACGACAAGCATATACTAACCAATCGTCCTTTCAGACCTCGTATCCCAGTCTGAATGCTGTCGCTAGATCCTCAAAGCTGGCTAGAACGGTTCCTTCGTCTTGGCAATTCTTTCTTTCCTGAGCTATAGTCATTTTGTAGTCGCCGGTTTGTTCTTTGGATAAGAAGACTGTGAAAAAAATTAAAGTGAAGAGAAAAATAACTGGAAAATGGGTATCAGGACATCTCCCCTTTGGACATCCCCCCCATGACTTTCCCAACCACTACCCCCGACATAGCACCGCGGACATTTCCTCTCGGACTCTCCCATCAAATAGGACTCCAACCTAGTTACCCCTTATTATCTTTATACTGCTTTATTTATATATAGTAACATTTAACTTTGATGTATACTCGCATCCCGCATCACCATTAGAATTGCCTTGGTGGCCTGGTGGAAGAGCGTCCGCCTCGGATGCGGAAATTCGTGGGTTCGATCCCCAGTCAAGTTATACCAAAGACTTACAAAAAGTGGTACTAACAGCTGCCTCGCTTAGCGCTCAGCATTAAGAGGTTAGTGTTAGGACTGGTCGGCATGGTGTCAGGATAATGTGATTGGGTGGGACATCAAGCTACATGTCTGCGGCATGATGCCCCAGCGCTAGACATCACTATCAAATGCCACACTGCAGACATCGTAGCGATATGACTGAAAAATTGTTAAAGCTACGTTAAAAATCATGATCATATCACATAACATCACCATTAGATAACAGGTATGACTGTTGTCACCTGAAATAAATGCATTATCAAATGTAAAATATCTATTTTCCTGATCCCTCCCTTTCTCTCTCTCTCTCTCTCTCTCTCTCTCTCTCTCTCTCTCTCTCTCTCTCTCTCTCACACACACCCCCCACACACATACACACACACACACACACATACACACACGCACACACAATCTTGGATCTTAAGGACAGCTTGAACTGTGAACATAAATTCAAAACCATTTTTAATCATTGTTATACCAAAAATGAGCATTGTTAATCAATTGTTATTGCTTTTACTGAATGTAGAACCTGCAATAGGATGTCGAATGTACTCGGGCCAGATGTCAACATAAACGGATTATGATGTAACAACCAAAGAAGTGCAAAGACAGTTATTCGAGAATTGCAAACATAATCGCCGACTTCGACAATCGTAACATCATAGAATACTTAAAAGCATTTGCTTACAACCTTAACCTTTAAACAATTCATTTTTAATATGTGACAGTGTTAACTTTGTTTACCACTTACTACTGAAATTTATTTCCAATAACATTTTTCTTTTAAGATAACTTAATATAAGTTTTTATATTTTATTGGCAAAATGTCATAGTAAATGAATTAAGTTTTAAGATCATGGGGGATGATTGGTTGGAAGTCCAATTTGATGGGGGTGCGGAGTCCAAGGGAAAAAGTCGGGGGGGGGATTGCCGGAGGTAGGAGTCTGTGGAAAATGTCAGGGAAGAGATGTTGTAGATATATCTGGAAAAATGAATGTTTATAAAACGCAATTGTTTAAAAAGTTTTTTTTTTAAATTTAAAGTAAACATAATGTTTCAAACAAAGGTAACAAAAGAAACGAGTGAAATCAACAAGCTTTGTAAATTTTAAAAAATAATTTATTTTCCTAGAAAGCAATGTAAAAATAGAAGAAAAAACGTACGGTTTGTTAAAATATGCCAAAAATTAATTCCAGAATTGAAAATTATAAGTCCTATCACTAAACAGTTCTAATTCAATCCGGGTTCGAATGAAGTTCCAATATGGAAGTCGATGATATGAGATGAGGAAGTACTGATGACAACGGTTCCTCATTGAATTTTGTGAATCAAAAAAATATTATGGCTTTAGAATTCTAAATAATTTCCACTGAATGTCTTTGTCCAAGACTTTAATGAAGAAGCAATTATTTTCCAGAGAATATAAATTATTCTTAAATAATAAATAACTCAAAATTGGCACATATAATGATAAACAAATAGTGGTTGGCTGACTTGGTCTTAGGTAAGGGACCAACACAATCGACAATAATTTGCTAAATGGTTCGTAAAATGAAGAAATATGTTGCAGATGAGCCTTAGGTATCTTCTGATTGGGTTTTCTTACCATTTGTCAAGTATGACAAGATTTTCAAAATTTGCAAACATCACTTTTGATTTTTGGCCAACAAAAGTGTGTCAAGACCTTATGATAGGTTTTATTTATCCTTAAATGACCAGTGGGAGAGTTTCATGGCCCAAACTAAGTATTTCCTGCCTGTATGATTTTGCAACTACAGTCTGATAGTTCAATGACCACTCGTCACTAGCAGGTACATAGGAAGGTTTTCATTTTCTCATAAGAATTACATTTATAACGAAATAACATACATGCGCTTCAGTGGCTTCAGTTTCACTAATGGCTCTCTGAAACAGACATGAGGTCTGAATGTCTTTTTCCTGTTCGACGACAAATAATTGCTGTTTATTACCCTGATTAGACAAAAGATAATGATTATTTAAAAGAGGACCACTGTGATCAATACCTTTTGATTGATCCAAATTCGGAGTGAAATTGACCTCATGAAAGCCTGACCAATACCTGTGTCAGGTAAAGGACTATTTTTCTTATCGAAATCATTCTCAAGAGCTTTCTTTGCCATAGCTCTATTAACTACACAATCTGGGTATAAGTTAGGATATTTGTTTCAATAGGATCAAGTTTCTGATCCAAAGAAGGCTTGTCAGTTAGAAGTGGGTTAACCACAACCTTGTCTCCAGCTAGGTCGTTGTCTAGTAAGAAATGAATGCCATAAACGGGTAAAGTATACACTACATCGACTGTCACATTTCCTGAAACTAAGTCTGATAACAAAATTACAGAATGGAGAGGAACATTAACAAAGCCGCTATCTACTCCCTGAACCGCTATCTACTCCCTGAATGAGAACACTCTCATTATAACAGGACTTCTCAGGAAAAGGTAAAGTACCTGATGATAAAAGACTCTGAGAAGGTCCTGTATCCGTTAAAATTTTAATAGTAATAGGATTGGCCAAGTCACCAAAGAGTGATATGGAACCCTTCGACAAGAATGATTCATTATTCTCCATAATAAAATTAGACTAGGGTTTTCGAGACCCAGCAAATGTATTGATTTCAATACATGACAGTGACCCTGATCACTTAGAAATAAGAGCATTTAGGATATCTCTATCTGGACTCTGATGCCTATATTTCAATTTAAAAAAATCATAAATAACACGTTCTTTTTATGCAAGAATACACGTAGGTGGAAACAAGGATTTTGAATCAAGTTTATCTGAAGCTTGAGTCCTAGAAGTTGTGTCAGACTGAGTTTTTGGAGGAATCGTATTACACTAAAATACCTTTCTACCAGTAGACTGCTGAGTGAAGGATTTGCTTAAAATAGGAACTTCATGAATTAAGGAATACTCATGAGCAGAAAGAGCAGCATTTTACAATGTTTTGATCTTATATTCTTTAAGATGATTCTTAATGTCACTAGGAACACAGTTTTTGAATTCTGCAAGTAACAAAAATTGTTTAATATTTTCATAATCATGTTCAAGTTTCATGGCTAAGCACCATCTTTCAAAAAACTTCTCTTTTCTCTTGCAAATTCGACATAAGTTTGTCCAGCTTCCTTTTTATAGTTTCTGAATTTTTTGCCGACAATCCTCAGGGACTAACACATAAGCTTTTAAGATTTACTCCTTAACCAATTCGTAGTCAGAACTGTTGTACTAACAGAGATGCATATATATTTCGGGCTTTGCTAAAAAGTGCACATTGCAATAATTGAGCTTCTTTGGTCATTTCAAATTTTCAGTAACTTTTTAAAAATAAACAAAGTATTTGTCTACTTGTTTTTCTCAAATGGGGTTTTACGTCATTTTTCAGCGCATGATAGACTATAACTGGTGGAGGAGGAACCCTTGAAAACCCCATTAAGAGCCACCGACCCAATGGAAGCTACTGGCAAGCTTTATCATATACCCAAACTGGCGTAACCCTAGACAGAGGACGGAGGTGAGATGACAGTGACTAATAAAGATGACTGCTTTAGACCACTTCCACCCGTGGCCCGTGCACCGGTGAAATGAAAAACCATTAAAGTTAGTTTCATTTCTTGTTTAAAGTACGTGTTAGCAATCCGAAAGCATAACACAAAATTCTTGCTTCCCAAAGGAAACGACTATTTTATATTAAATGTTGTCTTTGTTTTATTGTTGTTGTTTTGGGTGTTGTTTGGGAGCAGGCGAAGAGATGCTGATCTATGTCTGAGATCTAGATCACTTTTAAAGACAGAGTTCTTCAGCTCAAAATACGGTACCAATGTACGCAATTGAGAATGAGTTCATAGTAAACAAAAAATTTCAAAACTTTGGAGATGTCGGCAAGCAAAATAAAGACCCAACTAAAACAATAACAAAATTACACCTACCCCCATTTCCTCACTGAGCTAAACACTTTCTATCTAAAACAAACCTTTCAGCGAATTAGTGTCAAATTGAACGACCGGAAACAGAAACAAAATGCATCGGCGGACGATGAAATCGGATATTGTTCTTCCTCCTATTCTTCCTCCTGCATGGGAACATAAAATGAAATAAAAGTAAAACCATGTACAATTGAAATAATTCCTTTTCTTGCATCTGCATGTGTTCCCCAGTACATTTGTCTACATTTAAGGCGTGCAATACTGATGTCTCAATCCAGCTTTTTCTACAATAAGAACTGCATAACTTGTAATGTACGCATTGATGCACAACTATAGACAGTAATGCGAGGAATTGAATTAAATACACAACTCTAATCTTCGAAGTGACGTTAATTTTCAGCTGGCTAAAACGAGACCAAACACTTAATTTTGTCATGCCTTCATACGCCACAGAAGTATGGCTGCACAGAATTGATCTCGTTATTATTCATGTGGTTATAGCAAAAATTGTCAGCAATGTTTTTATTGGTCGTTTATAAAGTCAGGAAAATATTTTAAAACAAATGAGCACAACTTCTTAAGAGCCATTCCTTGGACCAACATAAAAATCATATAATTTATTCTGAGTGAGATCTTGAATCTTTCTGATAAAAAAAAATTCCTGGAAAGCAACCTCCTCTTTGATCTACTTTCAAAACTTAACTAGCTACTTTTCGACATTCATACCGCGGAAATTTCTTTTTTGGGCACTGTGCAGAAGACTCTGAAAGACATGTTGAAACTGTTCTTTAAGAGGATTAATTTGCTTGGCCAGATAGTGAAAGAATTAATTAGTCATTGTTTCACATTCACTTATATTACACATCAAGTTCATAAACGCTTTTGGGGATAGAATTTGAGGACAGCATGTCGAAAAAAGTTTCTTTCTCCTTGTTATCTCTTTCAGTACAAATGTAAAAACTGAAAATTTGTACGTGTGCAACTAAAAAGAAAAAATGAAATTACAGATTTATGTTAGT